CAACATTATCCACTTACAATTAGTGTGACAAATATTGACCTATCCATGGCAGACATTGAAAATCTTGTAATTCATTTTAGTAAACTTTACAATTGAAAATAACAGTTTAGTAACTAATAGTCCTACAATCCATAATCATCTATAGGTTAAATATTCAGATACACTTTCAAATCTCTACAGACATATATGACCCTTTCGGTTGATAGAATGACTAATCCCAATTTCAACATTCTTTATTATTAATTTTAGTGATAATTCTAGTGGTAAAATTTATACCTTTATTCACAGTTCTATATTTCAACACAGCAATCACTTAATATGGAATCAACTTACTCACTGTCTGTGTAGATAACTTATTCAACCTAAAATATCACTAAAATAACATTACTCCAAAATGTTGAAATTAGAGTTAGTCATTCTGTCAACTGAAAGGCTCAGAGACTGAAGTTGTGTGGTTTATAAAAGAAGAGGGAGTAACTAGATTTTTAATGCCTACTATCGATATAATAAATAGATTTCTTGTAATTTTAATGGTCTTAATGATTTGTTATCTGTAAGCTTTAGTTCCGTTTATAATGCACTTCAAAAATTTTATAATAGCCCAACAATGCCATAAAATAATTTATATTCAAAGTAGAGCTGTAAGTGAAAGTTGTGTGTTGCGCGCACCAGATTTTTTTTTTTGCATTTATAAATAAAAAAAGGATCTTTGAAAATTATTTTTAAAAAACATTTTTTTTTTTTTTATGACTTAAAGAAAACGATAACTGAATATAAAATGCAGCCATTTTTCTCCACTGACCTTTTTCATTGGATTTTTTTGTTTGTCGAAAACTATCATAAATTGCAATATTTTAATATATAAACAAAGCGCCATAAGTACCCCATGGAAACCATAGCATATAAGAAGTTTTCGGTAATATTTACGGTATATCTGGAAAACAGTACATTTTAGGACTTAAAAATTCCATTTTTCAAAGGAGTCGAAAAATGGGATCTAAACTACCGTATTTTATACAGTGTACATATATCACAAATAATGACTCTGAATTATGACATCAAAATTTCCTTGTCAAATTTTCTATAAGGAACTTTTCTAACAAAATTTCATTACTTTTCAGTAATTTTTAAGAAATTTCCAGTGTAGAGATACCGAAGTCAAAATACTTAACGCCGAATATTTTCGTTTATTATTTTCAATAATGACCATTTTAATCTTCTGATAAAATAAAAAATTTTACCCTTCATCTCAAAATTTGAGGTTTTACGTTTCACGATACGTAAACTGGAAAATCGAATACAATTTTTTTTTTGTCCGTCCGCGTCATTTCTCCAAAAACTGGACCTATTTTTTTTTTTTTCAAATATGGAATCAAAGTCAGAGGACACCCGAAGATGACCTTCCTATCTCGACATTACTATCTGCTCTTTCCTTCCAAAATAGAGGACGAAAAACCTGTGTTGGTGCAGACTATAGCGCCAAAACGAATGTACAAATTTCAATGAAACTTGGCTAAAGTCTTTTTCTCGATGACCTTTAAATTTGTCTATATAACGTTCTTCAACGAAAAGATGCTGGGAACAAAGTTACGAGGGTGGTAAAATTACATTTCCGAATAACTCAAGTATAGAATTTTTTGTAATTTTTATAATTAGGTGTTTCAAAGGTATTTGAGTTTCCTAAAAAACAAAAAATGTTTCATCAAAAGCAGAGCATTATTAGTAAAATTATAGTTTTTTAATATTTTTGGTTTATTATTTTCAATATTGAATCATTTTAATCTTCCGAAAAAATAAAAAAATTAACCCCTCCTCCCATCTAAAAATTTGAGGTTTTACATTTCAGAATATGTAAACTCGAAAATCGAATAAAATTTTTTTGTCCGTCCGCGGCATTTCTCCAAAACTGGACCGATTTTTTTTTCAAATATGGGATCAAAATCAGAGGTCACGCAAGGATGATCCTCCTGCCTCGATATTACTATTCGCCCTTTCCTTCCAAGATGGCGGACGAAAAACCTGTATTGATATGGACTGTAGAGCTTAAACTAATGTATCAATTTCAATGAAACTTGGCTGAAGTCTTCTCTTAGAAAGTGATTTTTATGTTAAATTAAATAATATACCATTGTGTAATAATTTGTAGCAGTTTTCTTTTGTTATGTACCTCCTAATCGGCTAGCCCTATGGTAGTTCCTGCAGCCCAGAACCATTCCGATATATATATATATATATCTTATGTTGAATAAGCGAGAGCATACGATTAAATGTGCAGCATCCATAGGTCCTCCTCCCGATGCATTGAGTGGAGAGTGGAGAGTCTGCCACTCCTAGGTTAAAAATAAATGGTTAAAAATTTTTGAAACACCCCTGTCAGATTAAAAAATAAATTGTAATACAGTTATGCTTAAAGTGATCATTTAATAGTACCTTAATCCATTTTTGGTACCAGAAATGAATAACGAATAAACTAAATAAAAAATTGTCTAAATATAATCATAAGTTTGATTGATTTTAATTTTATATATGTTATTAATAAGTATAAAGTTATGAATTTTTCAAATGTCTATTCATCAAACTGACATTTTTAACCTCGAACATTGAGATAAAATAAGATCGCTTTGGCACCACAGCGTGTGTAACCTTAGAGAACAGTATTACTTTAAGTGTGAGAACCTCTGCGTTAAATGGAACTAAAAAATTACATTGGTGAAGTAAAGAATCTCTGTTTAATTATTTTTCGTTATAATGAAGATGAGGGGATGGGTTCCGTTGCATAAGGAGCTAACAGGAGCCAGCCGTGTAGTCTTCTCCAACGAGCCATATCAACATTAACTAACTTACGTAGTTCCTTTATGGCTGTCAAGTTTATTTTGGTATTATTAAATTAGCCTTTGCCAAGATTTTTTTATAATTTGTAAAATAGTTGGTACATTAGATCAATCTTGAAGAAGTTATAGTACAAGGGAATCATCAAACTTAATGGATATACATATACAGTCATGAGTAAAACAATTAAACTATTTTAAAATGATTTCTCGGAGTCAGATTTGATTTGGAAAACCCTATAATTCCGTATGATACTATTTACTAGAATTTTTTTTTTAAATATCTGATGTGTCAACTCAAATCATGACTCCTTATCTGATTTGGATACAAAGCCCAACAAAAAAATTTTAGCCTGCTGCCATATTGGTCCGGTAAAGATTATAACTTTTTTTTCATAAAATCTCTTAACTAATTCAAATTCGAAAAAGTCTCTAGAATTTTTCAGATCCGGTAGACACTGTACAAATATGATACCATTAATTTTCCCCGGTAAGGATTTTATGTTAATTATCACTATTCACAACTGTAGAAAATATTTGGGATAATGCTTCAGACAACAGGAAGTTATAGCATGTTTTATGTTATAAAATAAAGTCGAAATTACTTAGAAATTACCAATAAACAATGGTTCATAAATTTTCCTTCGCCGTATAACAAAAAACATTATTTTCTGTCAAATTAAACAGTTTTGTCGTAAATAAAACTAATGTTCAACGCGGTATGAATCCCTGGGAGATGACAAAAGTTGTAGATTTAAGAACCAAAAATCGAAATGTTTTTGACAAACCGAAAAATATTTTAATTACTTTAAGAAGTATTTTAAGTAATTATTAAATAAAATTGAAGATTTTTTTATGTACATTTATTTTCGAGTATTTCATTAATAATCAATCGAATAATAATGTGATAACAATATTAAGACAAAATTAAAAATAAGTATGATTAAATTTTATAATTAGAACAATATTGGACTATGTATGAACAAATAAATGTAACAAATATTCATAGCATATGTATAGGGTAGCTAAAAATAAATATTGGTAAAACTGAAACCAAAGATTAATATTAGCATATACATGTAGCACAAGTTACAACTTAATAATAAATACTTGTAGATCCATTCTGACAAGCTGGTATCGTATATAATATTAATCCTATAAATTTCTTTTTAGGTAATAAGATTCTGAAGTCTAACAGGTCAATGGTTTCATTTCGCTAATTTATAACGTTAATCAAGATTAATTTCGTTTTTAATATAAGATGTATAATCAATTATCACATTATAAATAGATGAACGTATGATACTACTAAACACAATTTTTATAACCTATAGGTTGGATGATAAAATACTTCGAGAAGTTATGAACAAAGGTATTGGTACAAATAAAACAAGAATTCAACCACAATTAAGTAATGAAAACATAAGAGAACAATGAAGCCCACTATAAGTAAGCACGAAAGTTTCTCGATAGGAATTAATAGATATTATTCATTTATTTAATGAAAAAGATAAGATAAAAATGTACGGAATTCAAGTTACTCATTGATAAATAGTGAAAATTGGATAGAAGTTGACAATAAATAAGACCTACACGCATTATTTTAGAAACAGTTGTCAACATCTAGGTTTTGCTTAACAATAAAAAACAACACATATTACATTCAGAACAACTTATACAATCGATGTAGCCATAATTCAATAAATCCATTCATAGTTGTAAAAATCTAATTAGAATCTTGCCTTTTTTTGCTGTTTTTCCCAAGCCGGGTCAAGAAGGCCTTCTCGCTCCCATTCCTCTTCAGGCTCCATGTAGCCATCTCCATACTGATCAATGCCATTGTTCATCATGATTATAGAACTGAATTACTGGACTTGAGGATGAACGTTAACGTTGGCTCAAGCAAAGGCAGACGCGATACTACCTACATACACGTTAGAGAACCCCAACCAGGGCCCGTCAACCACTGAACACGGCAACCTGAAACACAATCTACATCCCCCCTCTCTCTTTGAAATTCCAAATCTAAAATTCAAAAGAACATTAATTGTGGATTTTCATATTCAACTGAATCAATTTTTTTATTAAAAATTATTAAATAGTTTTCACCGATAATTTTTCGTAATAAATCTTAATCAAAAATGGCTTTGTTCATGGCAGCAGTGGCATCATAAAAATTCAGCACAACTGTTTTGGTAGGAAAAGTTCACTTTCTGACACTGGTTTGTTGTGATTCGTTGTATATAGGTAATGTCATAAAAGATGAAGCCTGAAAGCAGTGCAGGTACATTCTTTAATAAATAACTTTTTCGTGTACATTTTTATAAATTTGAAGAATAGACAGATTATTTAAAAACCTTAACTCAATAAGTTTTCAGTGAATTGTACCTTTACACTTAGTTTTGTACATATTATAGACTGTTTACTAGAGATTGTTTCAGCATCTATTTGTATGTTTTAATTTAATTTATTAGTTAAAAATATGTGTTTATAGTGTTGTATTGATATATTATTCATTTTTTGTAGCATCCTGGCTGAAGTTTTTTTCAGCTGCAGGGATACCAAGAGATGAAGCTGAAAACTATGCTGTTACATTCTCAAAAAACCAAATTCAATTGGATATGTTGCCTGAAATCAAAAAGGAATATCTGAAAGACATGGGGATCACATTAATGGGACATATAATTGCTATTTTGAGGCATGCAAAGGCAGTATATGCTGATGTGAGTATTTTTCTCAGTTAATAGTTTCATCATCTGTACTTACCTTTTTTCTTAGTTGTATTCCATGGAAATTATAGATTTTCAAACCATTTGTGTGAAAGCCAAATTAAAAGATTCACTGCTTTATTAAATGAAGATTTTATTAGTTCAACCCATGTTACTATTTTTTTTTATAAGAAACCATTAGAATTTTTATTCAACTTTAAATCTTTTGTTGCCCCTAACTTTTTGGAACTATCCGATTCAAAAAACTTGTTATGTACTGAATGAGAACCATGGGCTAATTTCAATATCTTTTTATTAGTATGTTTACCACTTATCACCACTATATTGCTAGATTATTAGGTTACTAGGAAGTTTGTGATATGGGGCTTGAAATTAAAGTTTACTTTTAATCAGCTTAGGTATAATTTAAATCTTTATTTCTAATTGTTATCAGTAGCAAAATGTGGAGTTATCGGTTGCACTATTTTTAACCTCCTTATCAGGAATCAGAATATATCTATAAATGCTAAATTTAAAGTTTATAAATCAGTAGCAAGATCTATAATTTGTTTGAAATATGGGAAGTTTAAGTTTTAATCTAATTTTTTGCAAAAAAAACTGTTCTTACTTCGAAGAAGTGTCCAAACTACGTATTATATCTAGAAACACAGTTAAAACCTTTATTTCTGTCATATGCAATCTTAAAAATGTCAATATCGCGACTACCAAACATTTTGGCCAATGGTATGATTAACGAAAAATTATCATGGGCAAGAAACTAATCTCTTGGGGACACAGACTAAATTCAAATATAATTAATGATCTAAGTTCAAAAACAATTATTTAATTTATTGAGGGATAAATTACAGATATGAAAACGAAGTGGGGTATTGATATAACTAATAATGTGAAAGGTGCTAAATTCATTTACTGTACAAAGATTTAAATGAGAACTTACAAAAAATCTATTCCACCCAAAATTCGTCTAGTATTTTATCAGCACAATTATAAAAGTAAGAGTGGAATTACTTCAATTAAATTGCAGAATAGATAGAATCGGCAGCCATATATGTTCTCTTTTTAACTTAAACAAAATAGAAAATATACCACTGCATTGTAGTATTCCCAGTTCCGGAGGAATTCCGATTAAAAGACGTAAGAAAGTATATTTTAACCTGCAATGAGTTTCTTGATATGATAAATGCGGGGGATCTGAATGAAATCTACATGGTTACTGACATCACTAGAGCATCCCTGATAAAAGAATTTAATTATTGAATATTATTATAGTAATCTGTGACTTCTGCCACAAATTAAGTACTATAGAGGTATTTGTGAATCTTTTAAGTGTGTAAAGTCTAGAAAATTATGGCTGCTAGCACTCTCGTTTTTAACGCAGCTTAGAGTCCTGTAAAGTATTGCTAACTTCATAAATGCACAGAAGATGTTATTATAAGGTTTTGATGTGTTTGATTCTTTGTTTGTGTAAAATATTTACAGAAATGGAATGTATAGACAGCTACGATTTCATCTATTTATTCATCAAGTTCTTTGCTTTCTGAATCATCTCAATTTTCATTCATGCTTTCTAATCAAGCATTTTTAATAAAATAATCTAGAAACTGAGTCTTTTCACTTCGCTTTCGCATTTTAAAAATAAATAAAAACGTTAGTAGATAAATTAAGAACTCACAAACTTTGTTTACAGTACATGCTTAACCTTACTATAACTAATAACGCTTTAGCACCTTAGCATAGACAGGTTATTTACTATTCATATTAAATTTGTATAGATTGCTTAGCATGATAACACATTAAGCATTTTCAACAAGTGCATCAATACTCCATATGTCTAAAAAATGTTTAACAGAACTGTTAAATTGAAAATTTAAAAAAAAGTTTTATAAAAGTTTTTTTCCATCTTGATTTCAATGTTTATTATAAAAGTAAAACAAAAATTGTAAAACTTTATATGTTTTACAGGAATTAAAAAAAACTGAATTATCTTCTCAAAAACAAACAACTCCATCTGGATCAAAAGTTAAACCTGTTTCTGCTTCCAAAGAAAGTAAGTTATTCCTCTCTAAATATGCTGGTACCATCTTGTGTTATGATTTCAGTATCTTTTTAAATCTTTTTGAGAAATACCTTTGTTGAATAAATATTTACAATAAACATATGTGCTGTTTCGTTAAATTAACTTGAGGAACTACTGGTATACAGGGTGTCCCGTAAGTAGAGAGAAATATTTAAAAGGTTGATATTAAACATCAAAATCTACAGAAAAGTTCATATAAACAATTACCCAATTTAATTTCCAGTAGGATATTTAAGATTTGTGTTTTTTTAATTGTCACGTTTTATGTTGAATAGGAGTAATAACTAAGAAAATATTTGATTTAAATAGTTAAACATTACTCCATAGTACACTAGACAATATTTACTTCTATTGAAAGTAGAGTTTGTCATTGTTTAAACCATTTAAAGGGAACTGTTGAGCTGACAAACTCAGCTAAGTTCTGTTTTTAAAAAAATGTCATAAATTATTTGTGATTTCTGTTTGTCATCCTACAACTGTACTAAAGTTACCGCACATTTAGAAAAACTTTCTCCTTTAGTAAGCTTTAAGTCCGTACTGATTAAGTTGACGTTTGGACAAATTTTGAAATTCATCTCAAATTGTGTAAAGAAACAATGTGATTTTCCAGTCTCCTATAAGTACCCGTGTTTTTAGTAAAAATTACAATTAACAGTTGCAAAGCTTTTATTTCTTGTTTTTCCATGATCTAGAATCTATTGTAATAAACCTAATTGCCTAAATACCGATTTTATTTATAAAAATAAAAACCTGTCTCTGAATAGTCAGAAATAGTTTTCACTTTAATTATTCATTATTTAGAGTAGCAAACAAATTATTAGTTATGGCTTAATAAACCAAATTATGTCTGGATCATTAAAGCTTACTATCATAGTTGTTTAAAAAAATATATATGCTCAATATTACTCTCTTCTACCTCGGTACACATGGAATCAATAAATTGGAAAAAATATATGGTTTTCTGTGGGTTTTTTTTTATTATATGGTGATTGTGATAAGAAGTATAATTACAATGATTATGATTGCATTATTAAAATTGTAGTAGTTTTTATTACATTATTGTCCGTTTGTAATCTTAATCAAGTTTCAGATTATGATTGTAATCATGTCACATTTTTACCATATTTATGGTCCTTTTGTACAATGTATAACATTGCCATGGCGATTAAGCTTCATTTTCCGTTGTATTACAATTTTTCCCGTCTCTGTTGAGCTGATCTCCATACCTGCTTTTTGTATTTGTAAGATAGTATGATTTGTTTTCTCAAAAAAAATTATACTTTTCTACTTTTTCAAGTGAATGTTTGTTACTATATATGGATGGAAGTAGGATAGCTCAGGGGGTAAACACTGACTTCCTGATCTCAAGGTCCCAGGTCCGAATACGGCTGAATTAATTAAGAGGGGAAACCTGTAGGTCCAATCACCTCCCTGCAAAACTGTTTTCTTTGTAACAGTACTTCCTCACGTTGTACTGAACCCAAGACCCTTCATGGTGCAAATTTTTTATTATTATTAATGGATATGTAGCATTTTTTATTAATTATCATAATTCTGAGCAATCATTTTACAGAACTAATTTATTTGTTTTGAGTATTAATTTAGTTTTATATCTATAGGTAAGGCTGCCAGTAAAAGTGATAGTGAAACACAACAGGTTAACTTAAAACGTAAAAGTGCAGTTGTTCAAATGAAATCCAGCGATGAATCTAAAAACAAAGTCAGAAAAAAGTTATGTGATTCTTCAGATGATGTATTCGCTACAGCTAATCCAACTGTTAAATTAGTTGATCCTCCCACCCGAAATATAAATAGTAAGATTTCAGCTTACCAAATTTTATTATTTTTAATGTGTTAGAATGCAGTATTTTTTTAATAAAATTCAAGTTTCTTTGTCATTTTTTAGATATTTCACTATTGAACACACCAAATTAATCATATTGATTGCTAATTTAATTTTATTACAAAATAATAATAATAATAATTATAAGATGAATATAATATATGAATCCCTTTGATTTTAGATGATATAAGTCCTGATGATTATAAAAAAGGAGTATTCAGAAGACTAGGAGTTGAAGTATCAAATCCCGAATCATCTACTAATGCAAACGTAAGACAAATTTTTCTTTTTTTGCACAGTTTGTTGTTTTTATTTATCATTTTTATACCTAACTACTTAAAAGATTAAATAATCTTAAATTATCTACTTCTATCCTTTCACAGTTCCCAGCTCTAGACTTTGCAGGACAAAATATTTCCTTGTTTGTGCTTTATGCTTCACGCTAGGTATCAACTAACTGCTTTGTTCCTTTCAGCTCCAAAGTTAATGTACCTGACTGATAAATATTATCTCTATGCTGGGCAAAGAACCTAGTATTAGGCACAATAGTGGAGTTTGACCAAATTTCTGAATTAATTGATTTTTACTGGCTGAAACTTATGAAAATATATATATATATGTGATGTGTGTGTGTGTATATATGTATATGTATATATATAGTATGTATATATATATATATGTATATATGTATGTGTGTGTGTATATATATGTATATGTATATATATATATATATATATATATGTAATAACCTTATTTCTTGACTATACTATATAACAAAAGGACTCATTCCACTAACAATCACCTTTAGCCTTGACCACTATGTCTCCAATTTATATGTACATTAGTTTTAATTTTTGGTATATTAGTTGTACCAACTATATATATTACTTTCACTTGCCTATATTTGAAATATATAGTGTGAGAAAGTATTGTAATTGTGATAAAATTTGTATTCAAGTTTTTCAATAGAAATACATATTATGAGGTTCCCCTAAGTCCAAATTCCAAATCTTGCAAAATGGTCTGTTACAGTTGTGAACAGTTAATTCCAAAATCGTAGAGTCATACAAATTGGAATGACATATTTAAGTTAGATATATGCCAGAGATGTTAGAGAATTTTTTTTTTCAAGATTTTTTCAAAAATGGGCTCTAAAAATTTTGATCAAACTCGTTTTATCCATGTAATCTATGAAGTATTATTTTGTACCATAACCTCCTACATAGAGACAGGATAAAATTTATTTTGTTTGTAAATATAAACCAATATCTTATGTTTTTTTTTGTTTTGTTTTTCAGGGAACAAGTGAAAGTGTGTTTGCACGTTTAGGTGACAAGTCATTACCAAAAGTATCTAAAGAGGTTACATCTGTCAAACCTGTTAAGCGTTTAGTGGCCAGCAAAGTAATGAATAAACCTGTTTCTACCAAAAGTATAATTAGATCAAGACTGGATTACAAGCATCAACGTAAGTCTCTTATTTATTTTTTTATTTTCTTGACAAATTGTTATTACGAAAATGAATAAATTACATTAAAAAAAAAAAAATCTGAAAGTGGTTTTGTTTCTCATTGATCTGTCACTCATAGTTTCAGCTCTTACTCCTCCATAAATTTGATAATTGTAACTAGTGACAAATACTCTGGCTGGTTCAAGTCTAATAGTGTTTAAATGCAGTCCATTAAGCATGGATAATTTACCAACATTAAACATGTTCATCACATGTTGGGTCCGTGTTATTTATTTTAGCATTTGTTTTTTTTAATGAAAAAAATAGATTATAAAGATAAAGTAATGAAATATTGCTGTTCAATCAATTTAACTGAATTTTTGTGAGATTTATTGAAAAATTAAATATAGATTTGTATTTATATTATTTGCTTTGAAATTTCAGAAGTATTGGTTTCTCCTTCATATATGAATAGAGTTCCAGAAGATAGAGGTATGTTTACAATTTTTACTAAAGTTTCATTAATACAATCAATAAAAATTTATTCTGATTTCCTCTTCTCTACTTTTTCAGAAGTTTTAGTATCGCCAACGTACATGGACGGTACAAGAGAAGAAAGAGGTATGTAGAATCTTTATTTATTGTGTATGACCCATTTTTAAATTTTGGTTTAAGTGTCGAATTTCTTTCAAGTTTATTAGAATTTATTCTTTGTATTGATCTATTGTTCATTAATTTATTAATGGTGGAATGAACTGATTAACAAGTCAAGGTTTGTTTTCTCATACTTGATTTTTTAAATGAATATGGAAGTATTTGGTATTCTTTGTATTTTATTTTATTTTCTTACAAAGAGAATAGAATAAGCAGAGAAATCAGTGATGCTATGAATGACTTATTCATACAGGGATTAACTAGGGTTCAGATCACCAGTTGATCCAGGAGAGGGACGCAAATAATTTTTAAAAGTGAGTTTTTAACTTTCTTGACAAAAGTAACTAAACAACCGGCCTAGATGTTATTAATAATTTAATCAAAAAGTGAATGGTATTAAACAAATAATTTTTATATATCCTTTGTATTCCAGAACAATGAATAATTATTATTCTAAAAGTCTAAATATTTACCGTGAAAATTCTTCATTTATTGGCAAATATCTGAATATTGTAGCTGAAAGTAATTGATAGAGCACTCCAATTCCTTTCAAACTACTTTTAATTGCATTTGCAGAAAAGCTTTTGCAAAAATGTTGTGTTTTATGTTCATAGACCTCAATTATTCTGTTAAGGAATTCTGACCCCCCTGTTATGGCCAAATACTAGACGAGGCAAAAAAAAAAATTAAAATACACATTTATTTTGATATATATATATATATATATGTATTTATAGCTCCTCCCCTCTCCCTTCCCTCACTCTTCCCAGAACATTCCTGAATCCGCCACTGGTTCAGATGTTGAAAAAATAAAAAGTATTTTAGTAATTGTGGATATATGCATGAACAGCAAACAGGTTATTGAAGTTTTCAGCAACAGAGTCTCTTCTGAAATGTTGTGAACCATTTTTAAAATATCACTATGAGTTTTGACATATTATCACGCTCTATAATAAATGTCTTCTGTCACATACTCTGCATCCTTGAGATTTCCCAAATTATTCGAGTCTTAATGTAGTTTACAAAAATAAACTTAAAAAATTTTTTCTCGCCACTTAGGTTGATTTCTTAATAATGTGTAATACATATTTACTTAATATAGTTAACCATCTATCATCTTAATCAGTTTAAAATACATTTGTAGGAGGAGATCAAAATGGAGAATTGTTGTGTCAGGGGCATAGTGGAAATGTATTTAATCTGAATTTCCCAACATTATCGCTATCTTTTTATTAGAGAGTAGTCCATAATCATTCTTAATCACTAAGAAGTCCTTTAGATCTCTATGTTTTATTTGAGATAGGAAAGATTTTCTTATCATCTGTTTCAGAAAAAGTAATCAAATTCTTAGTAAGGAAAATATAGAGACCTACCATAAATAAAATGATAACTGAGAAGTTACATGGTGTTGTTTTATAAAGTAGGATGTAAATGGCATTCATGGCATAATACATCGAGATTTCTTGTGAATGTTAAAGCAATAAAGATTATTGGCAAGTGTTGGTAGAATTTCAATTTATGACAAACTAAAAATACTGAGCATGAATACAAATACTGTGATCCTTAGCTGTCAGGTGTTGTAACTGAATTTTAAATAAAGGTTGTATATTGAAACTTGCAACTGTAACATCAGAGATAAAACTCAAAATGTGCAAAATTATGTGATAAAAAAAACTAAAGTTAATAAAATTGTGCGTACAACACTTAAAACATGCAAAAATCATTGTTCTTATTAATTTATAATATGAATACATGTAAAGTTTATTTAATCTTTTGTTATGTATAATCTTCAGTAATGTAACGGGGAAAAAAACAATTTAATTCAACAATCAACTACAATTAAACTAAATTTAGTTGAAAAAGAAATTTATATAAGTTCAGTAATAATTTTATTAGTAAGGATTAATTTTAAAATTGAAAACAATCGATATTTACATACATAAACCGCTAACAAAGAAGAAGACACTATTCACTTAATATTATTGTGAAGAATGACAGGTTAAAGAAGAAAAAATATTCTGTATGAATCATGTTTGTCAAAATCCATAGCGGCTTGAGTAATGTAGCAGTATTTTGTCGAAAATCTTTTGGCTAGGTAGTGAAAAGGCATTTTGTTTACAAATATTTTGATACTTGTTTGTTTTTAAAAGTATCTAACTGGTAAATACATATTATTCTAAAAATACAAAACCAGTAATAATAACAGTAGTTTAATCTGATAATAAAATAAGTTGTTACGATTCTTTAATTCGTGTATACTGTAAATATGAATAACAGAACCGTGAATAAAGAACTTTAGCTGTGTAAACCTAAATTAAATTGAACAAAATCTAGAAGATAGAATATAAAACCTTTTATTTAGCCATAAGCCAATTCTGGATGCTCAGCAATGCTATGCTATTCATATGTTAAATATAAATCCTCTTTCGCTAAAGGGATTTTGTCCCAGAATAATTAAGAAATTTATTATTTCAAATAGTGGGAAGCATGCCTTGGTTTAGACATCTCTGTTCTTTTGTATAAATTTAAGCTCGGAATAAACAATTAAATTAAATTAATATTTACATGCAGATCCATATCTAATCAATGAAATCTATTTTAAACATTGAATTTAATGATATTGAAATTAAAATTGAGTCCTAAAAGGACAAAACATGTAATTTTATGCAATTATAAATCCAAAGTGTGCAGTTTAGCCCAAAAAGAGCAAAGCCTGCAATTTTGGGCAGTGTTAAATTTCAATATATTATATTAAAGATCTTGAAACAGTAAGATAATCGTGTTTAAATTTGTTGCAAGCTAGTTAGTAAAATGTGCAATAACATGATAATCTGGTCTGTATTAATAAGTCATTAATCAAGTATATTTAAAGTATCTGAAACTCATTTAATTTTTAATTGTAAATATTGTTAACTTGAATTCGATTGAAGTTTTTATATAAATAATATTTTTTATTTATTTATTTAATTATAATTTTCTTCTAGGAATAATAGTATCTCCCACATATATGGATGGTGCAAGAGAAGAAAGAGATATACTGTCCAGATTGAATAGTAAGGAATTTATCCATTATACATTTTTGTTTTTATATCAAATTGGAATAAACACTTAATTATAATTTTGATTTTTCAGATAATCACATTATGGAAAGGAGAAACATTAAAGCTAGACTTGGAAAAACTTCATTAGAATCGGTATGGAAAAAATATTAACATAGTCATTGAATCTTAAGTTAAACGTGAAATAAAGTAATATTTTTTATCAAAGATTATCTAATTGCTTTTTGTGTTATTTTACATAATTATCTTATCTGAACTCTAGGTTCAGCTGTTTTAAAATATCATAGTTGAATTTTTTTTTTTTTTTTTATTGGTTGTGGAATCAAAGGAGAAAAAATAATTAGTTCCCCATTAACCTTCCAGCTTCTAATTTGTTCTTTACTATTTCTATCTTTGTGCATCTGATCTATATAAACAGATCAAAGTAAATGGATTCATGATTATTAACTGAATCCTTAATTAGTGAAGAAAAAAATTTAATATCACAAATTGATTGTAAAGGTGTCAAGTTTACCATTAGACAGTGCTGATAATAAATAAAGAACTTAGCTCATAAATTACATAATCGAAATCAAGTGAATTTAAGGAACCTATATTTAATAAACAATTTTATCATATACCATTAATGAACAACCATTGTGTTAACCATAGCTAATAGGGCAATACTTAATTATTTATTAATCTCCAAGATCAGACAAGTAATCTTTTTTTTTTTTTTAATTTGAAATAAACAGTTTCACAATGTACCCTGTTATAAAAAATGGTTAAATATTTGTTTGTTATTGTAATTCATTAAGGGCATCATCATAATGATCATGTAGTCACACCAGGTTGGATTTAGTAGTACCATTCTGAACACCTGCATTAATTTTGATGAAATTCGTTAGTTATGTTTCTCATTGTCCATCTTCTGGGTATGTGGAGAATCATCACCACTTAAACAATGGGGCCAATTTTCATTGTATAAAAAGTCATGATGCATTGTATATATTTCAAAAATAAATATTATATACAAGAATCAGGTTTAAGCAATCCATAAGAATTGGCAAACTCAATAAAAAAACAAACTATGTTATAGAAAACAGTAAAAGGAAGCAGAGAAATAACAATGTGCCTTTATTGTTTTACTCTTTAGATCAAAGTCAATAATTTATGTTTTATTAAAATGTATTCCTTTTTCTGTTTTACTTTCACTTACCTATATATGGAATAGTATAGAAAGTATTCTGATCATGAAAATTTTCGAATCCATGTTTTCAATGGATTAACGTGTTTTAAGTTCTTCTGAGTTCAAATTACCAAGTCTCACAAAACAATCATTGTGTTTGTGTCAACAGTGTAGCTCAAAAGTCATAGAAAAGTGAAATTGCATTTTGAAGCTTTGTATATATATGCCTGGGATGTTAAAACAACTTTTTTTGTCAAAAACCGCAATAACAATTTTGATTAAATTCATTATATCAGTGTAAAATTAAGTAGTTTTTAATATAATGTAGGTCTTATTCTAGTAATAAAGAGACTGAAGAAACCCAAGCTCAGCCAAAGGGTTAGAATAGGCTTCCATGCGTAACACATCCTTAATATAATATGGGCCCCAATAATATATACCTATGCAGTTTTCATAAATGGTAGCATTGGATTATTTAATATTCAATTGTATGGATTACAGCAATATAAAAATTAAAATTTGTATTTATATATATATATATATACACACACACACACATATACTGGCACTTAAATAAATAAAATATCTACAATGAAATATAAATAAATTTTTTTTTTAATTTTTAAAAAGTTTATATAAAATTTTATGTATATTTTTTTTATCAATATTTTATATACAAGGGTGTCTTGTAAGTAGAGGGAAATTTTTATTTCAATTGTATAGATTACAGCAATATAAAAATTAAAATTTGTATATATACTGGTGCTTAAATAAATAAAATAGCCACAATGAATTTATAAAAATTGTAAGTATATAATTTTTTTCTTTTATCAATATTTTATATATACGATGTCCTGTAAGTAGAGGGAAATTTTTATAAGAGTGATAAAAGACCTCATGACCTATACAAATTTCATATTAACAATGGGCCAATTTTGTGTAATCTGTATATAGTAATCTGTTGATTACTTATTATTACTTGATTATTTTCACTTATAAGTACGGATCTATTCCTATAATAGAGCTCTGGATGAAAAATACAGTTTTATAACCACTTCACATGAAAAATATTTTTAAAAAAACATTATTACTTTCCTACCTATACTAGGTAAGGAAAGTATTGCAATTGGGTCAAATTTCCGATATGCGGTTTTCAACGGATCTATACGTTTCAGAGCCCCCTGAGTCCAAAAAACACATTTTTAGCCATTGGTCTGTCTGTCTGTGCCAAGATTTTCTCGGGAACTATTGAACCGATTTTGTTGCTTCTTTTTTTATTTTGTAGGGTTTTGACTACTGATGCCTGTGACAGAAATTTTTATACTGATCTACCTTAAGCCAGTTTGCATTGCTTTAGTTTATCAAATATATCGCACTCAAATCTTATGTTTGATCAATTTTCAGGAAAATGTATCTAGTTAAATTCTTTTTTGTTTTTTTATGAACATATGTAAAGATATAAAAACTTTTCTGAAACAGGTATGAAAGTCATGTGAGTGGACACACCAGATATTTTTTATTATAATTCATCCCAGATCATGGAAAAATAAGAAATAAAATCTTTGCAACAATTAATTGCAGTGATTTTTGCTGATAACAGTTCTAGGTGACAGGATAAAAAATAACTTCATTTTTTTACACAAGTTGAGGTGAATCTCAAAGGTTTTTCTCTAACAAACCTCAACTTTATTAATATGGATTTAAAGTATATTAAACAAGAAAGTTTTTGTAAAAATGGAGGTGGGATTTCTGTAGTATAGTCAACACTCCTCTTATTTAATGTAAATTTTGTCTAGTTTACTGTGAAGTGATTGTTAGTTACTTAAATTAAGTATTTTTTTAGTTATCTCCTATTCCTCAAAAACCGTGTCTCTTACTTTAAAAAAAAAACAACACAAAACTTGAATTTCTTAATTTTCTTCTGAAGATTGGCGCTTTGCTAATATGAACTTTTTTATAGCTCTTGATGTCTGTTATCACTCCTATGAAAATTTCCTTCTACTTTTGCAGTACTCCTTGTATAAATTTATAAATGTAATATTTCTTTAAAATAAATATTTACCAATGGCCCTTTTGTTGGACTAAAAATATTAAATACTGTCATAAAAGGGAACAGTTAGTGATAAATAGAATAAATATAATACATTAGACTGATATGAAAAATATATAGTTTGATTAATTGTTTAAAATATTTATTTCTGCTAATAAAAGGGTGGTAAGTGACAGTTCTATGATACATTGCATCTGATTTTTTTTTTCATTGTCCATGGGCTCCTTCATCTTGATATTGTTGTATTTTGGGGAGGGGAGGGAAGGAGGAAGAAGTAGAATTATTATTAAACTATGTTCCGTTAAAAACTTTTTCCAGCATTACCTTTCTTTGACAAAAGTTTTTGAATATCGAAATAGCAAAATTTGGATGCAATCTAGCTTTTTTCAAATTAACTTTATTCATCAGATTGGAAATTCTCCTATGCGATAAATGTTTTATTAATTTCTTGTATGACTAATTTGCTAAATTTCATATTTTAAATTGTTTTTAAATTTTTACCATGTAATCGAGAACCTTTCATAGGCTGGATTGAATGTGTATGCGGGCATTAGTTTGGAGACCTCTGATGTATAGTATAGATAACATTGTAAATATTATATAATAATTGAATGAATGAAAATAATTAACAAATTATAAATACATTCTTGTTTGTCCATAAAATACAATTATACATTTACAGGAAGATTGATAATAAAATAAAAGTACAGAGAATGAAAAAATATCAATAAATCACAAAATAATCAAAGTAATTGTGTAAAAATTTTCGTACTTTGCTTCTATTGTAAAGGACAAGTTTGGCTTTTAGTGATAAATGTATGTAATATTTTATATATACTCTGTATTACACTACTTGGTGGTCGTACTTGTTATGGTAATAATTTGTTTAAAAGTATTATTACAAATTTAGTTGTTTTCATTTTCTCACTTTTCGTCTCATTATTTTGCCATTTACTGCAGTTTGTATTGAAATGATAGGAATTGCTTTATGAAGAAGAAATGACAATATGCTAAAAAAAAAAAAAATTAACTAGTAAAGAAAGCTGTTTGTACTGGGATAAAAGCTAGGTGCCAATCTCTATTTTCCTTTCCATTCCAGAGGAGAGAGGGAGAATAAAAATTAGATGTCATCAAACTTACAATAATTTCTATCAATTATTTATAAATTTTATGGATATCCTCAACATATATTAAAAAAATACAAGATATTTCCTACCTTATTATATAAGGCGTACAATAGCCCCTCATGGCCACGTTGCATTTATGCCATTTAAAAAGAAACTTGTACGACTTTAAAAAAAAAAAAAAAATTATATGACTATATAAAATATCAATTTATATGATAATATTAGAAGCAATAATAAAAAATTCATGATGATGGGATAGAGCCCCAAAATGTTAAGCATGTTACCAATTTAAAGAAAAAATAACATGATTATACTAGGAGGAAAAAGAATCTATATCTATCCTTCCTGTATAGAGTAATTTATCAAAATGAGACGTTTATGTTTCAGAAACAAATCCTACAGTGTTATTAATACAGCAAAAAATCACATAATGAATTTATAACAAATTAAAGTAAAAGCAAAAAGTAACACGAAATAGGGTTGCAAACAATTTAGTTAAAAGTAATAGTAATGGGTATCTATATGGGCGCATGTAAGAAGAATTTGAAAAAAAAAAAAAGATAAACAAAACTTATTTTCTATGTAAAAAAAAGTTGTGAAATTTATAAACCTTTATTTTTACAGCATAGTGGGAGCAAATTACCTGGATCTGTAAAAAAAGTTTCTTTTGGGTCTGTTTATCAGAAGTTAATACCATCTGAGAAAAAACCTGCATTAAGAAGTGCCAGAATAAATGTTGATTTCAGTTCTCAGAAGGGTTCTATAGGATTATCTACTGGAGTTTTCAGCAGGCTTGGAAACAACTTTTATTAACATCTGTACATACTGCCTTTTTTCATAATTTCTTTGTAAATATTGTATTATTAAATACATCATATACATATTTTTTAATTTATTGTTAATATGCTTTCCTAAAAGAAACTATTAAATTTAAATTCATTTTCAAACTTATTATTTATATTTGATTTTGTTAAGTATATTATGTTTGTTTGTATAATGAATCTTATTTTAAAAAAGAATATTTTCATTTAATGTGTGGGAAACGCATTTGTGAATTACATTAAATTTACCTTTAATTTAATGTTTAAGGATTGATCTGACTGATATTTTTTTTAAACTATAATTACCTACATCAGATAGTAAAAAATATTCAGTTCATTACTAATTCAATTTCCAAGTTGAATTAAAAAAGTAATTCTGTGATTTTTTTATTTGTTTATTTTATGCCATAAACTTACAGTGAATAAGTAAGTACTATTATGTTCGTTATTTAATGTCATTAATAAATTTGTGATTAGCTTCTTATCTCTTGTTATTTATTTATTAAATACTTTCCTATTGGAACTGACTGATTATTGTCAAATATCTTGACTGTTCTTGGTAATAACTAGTTTTCAAATCTATAACAATCCACTGAAATATAAGAACAAAATTTAATTTAATTTAATTTTCCTACAAAGAAACTTATGTTGTGTACTTTTATTGATCTGTTGAATAAATCATTTATTCAATACCTTTAAAAATTAAATAAAAATAGGAAATTGCAACTTTAGCATCAATTAAGAAACTTATTTTATAAACCACTTTATTTTAATAGACAAATCAAAAAAATTTATAGAAATTATTATCTATGTAACTGCTTCAAATATTTTAAAAAGCAATCAGTATTTTAGAAATAGAAATGTATTTTCCTGATGTTTTATTTCATTATTATTGCATTCTTAATGGAACGCTTTTCGTTATTATTGGCCGCTTATTTACAAACGATGCTTGATTTTCTACTTCTGTTTGAACGACTTTAAAAAATAGACTACTGATGTTTTTGATTGCCAAGGCAAATTATTTTTTAAATTTATTTGATGTTTTATTATTCTCTGACTATCCAGATTTAATAAAAGACCAATTATGATGAATTGACATTAAATTATTCAGTTCATGAAAAGCAATCTTATTCTACTCCAAGAAATTGAATTAAAGGAATATTAAATGAGATATTAAATATATATATATGTGATTTCACGTGATAAGCATGTGAACAGAATAAATTGGAGGCAATGTGTAAAATTCATTTTATGGAATTTTTTCAGTTTCTTATTTCCCATACTCTATCCATCTATCTATACTGGCTCTACAACCCGCTTAGCGAGTCATGGCCTCCGCCAACAGCATCCGCCAGGTGTCCCTTCTTTGTGTTGCCACCATCCTGTCTCGAACTCCCAGCTTCCTGGCATCTTTGTCCACGCCGTCCCTCCATCTTAACTTTGGTTTTCCTACTCGTCGCGCTCCATGCAGGATTTCAACCTATACCTTCTTTGGGATTGTGTCGTCTCTCATTCTGGCCACATGACCTGCCCATCTGAGACGGCCTGCTCTTATAAAATTTGCAATATTGGCCTCATTAAAACGCTGGTAGATCTCCTGATTTTTCCTCCTTCACTCTCCGTTCGAATATTAGGAGGTTCTGCTCGGCTGCCTTGGTTATCGTCCAGGTCTCTGATGCATAACTTAAAACCGGTCTGATAAGTCTTATAGAGGATTATTTTGCTACGTTCAGTCACCAGAGTGCTTTTCATTTGTTGACTCATACCATAATAGCAACGCTTGGCCAGCAAAACCCTCTTATTTATCTCTATGTCCATCCAGTTATCAACAGTGATCTGCGAGCCCAGGTATGTGGATTCTGATACCTGTTCAAACCTGAAGGGTCCAAAACTCACCCTAGTAACATGTCCTGGGTTACCAAGTATTTAGTTTTTTCCTCGACAGTAAGGCAGAGTTTCCTTGCTGCAGCCTCCAGGTCCAGAAATGATTGTGCAACCGCTTGCCGAGAACGTCCAATAATATCTATATTATTGGCAAAAGCGAGGAGCTGAACAGTCCTATTGAAGATCGTGCCAGATGTTTGTATTTGGGACTCACGAACTGCTTTTTCTAGGACCAAGAGAAATAGAAGACATGCCAGAGCATCACCCTGCCTTACACCCCTTCTCGTAGAAAATTCCTCCGATACGTTGCCCTTTATTTTAACAACACATACCACCTCGTCCATTGTTAACTTGGTCAGCCTGATAAGCTTGGAGGGGATGTTGAATTGGCGTAATGCATCATATAGCTTTTGATGGTCGATCGTGTCATAGGCTGATTTAAATTCGACGAAGAGATGGTGAGTTTTCAGCTTATATTCCTGTCCTCTTTCCAGGATAGTCCTCAGACAGAATATCTGGTCGATCGTTGACCTTCCTCGTCTGAACCCGCACTGGTACCATCCAATCTCTCTCTCCGCAAAAGGCAACAGTCTGTGGAACAGGATGTTTGACAGAATTTTATATACGCACGGGAGCAGAGCAATACCGCGATATTTAGCGCATTTCAATAGGTTTCCCTTCTTGTGGATAGGGCATATAACTGTCTTCTTCCAGTCTGTAGGCATTATTTCCGTAGTCCATATGCTCACCAATAAGTTGTGAAGGAGCTTGAAGAGTTCATTACCTCCTTGCTTAAATAGTTCTGCAGGAAGTCCATCAATTCCTGGAGCCTTATTATTTTTTAGTTTGTTGAGGGCCTCACTTACCTCACCTTCATCAGGTGCTTCCAGGTCATTCATTTCATCCTGACCGAAGGGCAGCTCCGTCCCTTGGCTATCTATGCTTTGACCATTCAAAATCTGCTTGAAATATTTTCTCCATTCTGCTAGGCAGGATTGTTCCTCGGATAGGAGAGCTCCTTGGTCATCCATGCACATTGTATGTATTTGTTTGAATGGTCTCCTAGTGCTATTAACTTTACGGTAGGACTTCCTGCTATCTCCAATGGTTCTTGATGCCTCCAGGTCATTCAACTCCTGGATAATTCCTTCTCTCTTCTTTACCAGATGCAGCCTCTTTTCTTCCTATAGTCTTCGACTGTACTACGTGCACCTGTTGACCATCAGCTGGTATGCTGCATTTTTAACTTCTGTAGCTATTCGACAGTCTTCATCAACCAGCTTTTCCTGTTTTCCTTTTCAGCATGCCCCAGTATAACTTCAGCGGTTTGTTCAATGGATTTGTGACAGCTACTCCAAATATTGCCTAAACTGTCTTCCGGGTCCTCCATGTATCTTAACTGTGAGTCCAGTGCTGCGGCATATGCCTCCCTAGTATGAGGTTCTTTAAGTTTGTCAATGTTAAACTTTTTGGGTTTTGACCCTAGATAGGTTAACGGCAATTCTTGAAGCAACGTGGGCAATACTGAGGAAATGGTCAGAATCAACTTTAGCGCCTCTGACAACAGTGATGCTACTAACATGCCTGTTGCTTACGAGGATGTGGTCAATCTGGTTGACTGTGAGCCCATCAGGCAATGTCCAGGTACCTTTGTGAATGTTTTTGTGCAGGAACGTTGTGCTTACAATTTTAAGGCCTCCGGAAGCAGCAAAGTTGAATAATCGCCGGCCATTGTTATTGCTCTCTTCATGCAAACTATATTTACCGATGGTTGGGACATTGATATCCTCCCGACCGACTTTAACATTAAAGTCTCCGGTAATGATTTTCATATCATGGCGACGTAGGGAGTCCAGCGTATTGTCGAGCAGGCCATAGAATTCATCATTAGTTTCTTCAGTTGGAGCATGTGCACTAAGGATTGAGAAGTTATAAAACCTCCCGCAAACTCTAAGCACAGATATCCTTGGACTTACTGGCTTAAATCCGATAACTAATCTTCTGAATGATTTCCTTACGATGAATCCCGTCCCAAAGGTGTACCCGATCGTTGCAACTGTAGAATACCGTGTGGTCTCTTTTCTCTAGCGTGCCATGGCCTATCCACTGGATCTCTTGGATGGAGGTTATGTCCAAATTATATTTATCTATTTCATTCAAGAGCACATTGAGTGCTCCGGGTCTATACAATGAAATAATATTCCAATATCCAATATTGAACCTATGACGTTTGCCGGTTCTTTTCCGTGAATCTTCGAGGCTTTTGCTTGGGATTTCTTGATGGTTGAGTTTCCGGACAGTGGGGCTATCGACCCTACTACGTGCCCTAGTCGCCTGGTGGGACTGCCACCTTAGTGCCTGCAGACCTGGACCCCCTCCGGGGCGGCTACCTAGGGAAGGTGACCCTAGGGGGTGTACTGTTTATGACCTTCGCCTGTAGTGTGTGTATGTAGTGTGCTGAAGATTGTGTACTGTATGGGTGTACACATACTGGTTCCCCCAACCTGGAGGACCAGTGGCTATTTACGGTACAATGACCGGGCGATGGGGCCGCCACCTCCCTACGCCTAAATTTCCCATACTCTATTAAGTTATAATGATAACACAAGAGAACAGCAGAGAAATGGAAATTAGAAGGAAGATAATCTCTGCCAATCAGTGCTAATAGAGCCTCAGAAAACAGCTTGTGGGCACCATTCTCTCCCGCCGATTACATCTTTACAAAATCAAGTGGTAATATAGGGCTCAGAAACGTGGCCTATGACCAAACGTAATGAACAGATTCTCCTTGTGTTCGAGCGGACAGTCCTTCAGAGGATATATGGAGAAGTTTTTGGTCTATTTAGAGAGCCAAATGTCGTTCAAATGGTTAAACTGGGCTGGTTGCGGTGGGCGTGGCATGAGCGAAGAAGAGTTGTCCCAGAAGCTATTGATGGAAGCTCTCTATGAATGAGAAGACGAGAAAGACCCATAGATGGGTAGAAGAAATTGCAGCTGACGTTCAGAATATCCTTTGGAGTACGCAACTGGATGGCAGCTGCACGAAACCGTGATGATTGGCGGAAGTTGCTGGTGCAGGCCCGGATCCGGCAACGGGTTGTTGCACCGAAATAATAATAATTGCGATCGTGAAAAATTTCGAACCTTGGTTTTCAATGGAACTACACGTTTTAAGGACTCCTGAATAATTGGATATCTATTATTGTCTGCAGTAATATAAAAAGACTAAATATA